CGATATTTCTATCCCATATGAATAAAAATATCTCATAGTATTCTCTGGTTATAGTGGCCGCGCTCGAAGAGTGTGCAAAGGGCAATTAATACATACATACGTAGCTCTTATATGAGAACGATCTGTGTGACGAGGTGTCAGATGAGCGTCGCACGTATGTATTATTTCTCCTTTGCACACTCTTCGAGCGCGGCCACTATAACGAACTGTGTGTGTTGAAGCAACGCGCGCATGTAGTAGTGTTGTTTTGCCTTATACGCCACACAGAGCGTCAGACCAACCGTTCTTAGTGTCGACGCTTACTATGCTCGAGCGCGAATTTTCTATGGAGTATTAAATCAAAAAGGCCTGCCACAAGAAATGATACTTGTGCAGGCATGTATGCACAAGAAACGTCGATCTCAGTGGTCCGAGCTGTGTAGTACAGTGTGTACACAAATTATAACATATCTTTATACAGTTCACATGGAACTACTTGGGATAGAACGGCATTGAGCACACAACCCAAATATGTGCAATTCATAAATTATAACTTGTGCACACAGCTATAACCATTCCAGGACGACGTTTCTTGTTCATACGTGCCTGCACAAGTATCGTTTCGTGTGGCGGGCCTCTGTGAAATGTATGTCCAGTCTAATGGGTTACAGCTTCGTTTTTAAGACTCTTAGGATATCTGTTATTAATTCTTAATGGAATTTTCTTTTCATTACAGTTTTCTTCTTTTTTTTTTCCATTGTCACAACACATTAAAAAACAGTAATTTTTAAAATTAATTGTTTCCAGAAAGAAAATTAAATAACTAAATTTATTTAAATTTAAAGATTCCTATGATTTTTGCGGACTCGTAATTCGATGGAGTGCTGTCAAATGTGTGTGCTGATTATTGAAGTTATTATCAATAGTCAGATTATTTCATACGTTGATTTGGAATGCTTCTCGATGCAGCTTTGGATTGGCTCGAATCCGTGGAGAACTGCCCGTTGTCTTTTTGTCACCAGCCGTATCAAGAAATCGAGCCGGTGGCGGCATATGTGATTCGTAGTTCGGATAATTAGATATGCTAATGAAAAGAATATAAATATAGTAATAAAATCTATAAATAATAAGAATTATTTTTCTGACCTAAAAGTAGTTTCTTCGTTGTGGCTAGAGTAACCGCTGGAGCTTCGTACATGTCGTTTTGTCAGATTCTGCATTGATTTGCCAGGTTTTCGTGACAAATATGTTGACTTTGACTTTCTTGACAAGCTACCCGACGTCTCTGACGACGATGATGTGGTTTCTTGCTGTTGATCTTCTTTTTTTTGAAAATTTAAAACAAAGAGAAAAAATTTAAATGTATAATTTATATATTTCCATTTCCAATTTCACTAAAAAAAAACTCTTATACCTCGTTGTCTATATTTCGTTTGGTTCACATTCCTCGTTGTGGCTTCATTATCTGATTCAGAACCCAATGTATCGTACTCTGTAATAGGTATGTGAAGCGTTAAGATTTTCCTCACTTCTGAATCTGTTGAACCTGGATTGTCCGATTCTAAAATGTTTTTGATTTGATGATACTTGAAATGAGTTTGTTTGTTTTTCTAGTATCTTCAATTCATTTGAATAGCGTTTTCTTCAATTTTTAGGGTTGGAATGAAGTATTTTATTAAAAAAATGTGTTCTTTGGAACGCAAAAAAAGTTTTTAAAAGAAATAACGATGAAAAACAGTTATGTAATTTAAATCAACTGACTGCGAATTTCAGCCTTGCATAGAAAAAAATGTACTGTCTTGTAACAGTTAACTCTCAGCCGGGCAAGTTGGTCCGTTTTGGTCCAAGAAGGTGGTTTTTCAATAAATAAATATATAAAAACTATATTCTTCGATCCTTTCCACGTATTATAGCAAAAAAAAATCGATCATTAGATGACGCTCCGTGGAGTCAAATATATTTGTTGGACACAAGCGGCCAAATTGGACCAAAATGGGCCCATGGCTTTATGGCTGTAAAATTGGAAATACATAATATATCATCCAAAGTAGTATTATTCCGAAAACTAGAAAGATGAATCTTTCCAATGCACAATATACCAATAAAATTGGATGAACCTTAGAAAGAAGACATGTATTCATTCAAATTTGCGTCAAATGTCGAAAACCGCAAAAATTGCCATTTCTCCACCAGAATTGATAATATTTTCTGTGTAAAAGGCAATGTTTCATAAAAAGTAATATATAGTGGGGAAGTAGAAAGATGCATCTTTCAAACGTGGTATGCTTTAACAAAATTAGTTCAGCATCAGTGGAGCTATGGAGGTTTATACTCAAAATTTAGCTCTTAATGTATCAAATTGTACTACTTGAAAACGACAAAATTCAGACAAAAAATCAGAGTATTATATCTCTGTTGGTTTTCATTCAATTTTATCGGCATATGGCACGTTCGAGAGATGCATCTTTCTAGTTTCCAGTACAGTCTCACTTTTGAAGATATATTGCGTTTCTTTCAATTTTACACCCATAAAACTATGGGTCCACTTTGGTCCACTTTGCCCGACTACTTGAGTGATTTAGCTTGCCTGCGGGTTAATTGAAATAAGAACCTATGTAAAGTGTGAACGAACATGGATGCAAACAAATATATATGTTTGCGGTATAATTTACAGCTGTCAAAAATCGGTATTTTATTAATATGTTAATAAACAACATATTTTAATAATTAATAAAAATTTTGAAACACCATATTTATTAACGTTCATAAATATAGTGCATTTTATTGACATATTAATAATTATTAGTATGGTGAATTTTCGGTTATTAATATGTATATGGTGTAGATTTTATAAAAATGTTAATAAAATGTGGTTATTAATATGTTGTCGATTTTATTAGAATTTTAATAAATTCGACAACATATTCGATTTTATCCGATTTTATCAACGGACGACATCATGTTCACATCAAAGTCTATTCAACACAGCGTTTAGATTAAGACAATCATTTATCACGACATAATCTCAAAGAAAAACGAGTCTGGAAATATTCGACATGTTTTTTGTATGAAACTTTTCTTCAAGATTTTTTTGAAAAGTTTCATATAAAATTCATGTCAGTTTTTGCCAGACAACAAAATCTCGATGAAAAATGAGTCTGGAAATATTTGACATGTTTTTTATATGAAACTTTTCTTCGCAATTTTTTTGAAAAGTTTTTTGTATGAAACTTTTCAAAAAAATTCCGAAGAAAAGTTTCATACAAAAAACATGTCAAATATTTCCAGACTCGTTTTTCTTTGAGATTATGTCGTGATAAATGATTGTCTTAACCCTTTATCACATTTTGGTTCCTAAAGTAACCAGATACGCCAGACGCTATAGCTATGAAACCACTGAATATTTTTACATTCTTGTTTGGAAACAAATGTAGGGAATTGAACTAGCTTTCATTTGATACTTTACAGGCTACAATTGGCTGGCTGAATGGAAAGTTTTTTCGGTTCATGTACTGCTGTAAAAAAAATGCGAAATTATAGCAGAATTCCACATTTTTCCTCCTCTTATCTTGTGGGTTTGTTCATTCTTTTCAATTGTCAAATTAGGACTCTTTGGACCAAAACACATCAATTTAACTTTCTGCATCATTAGTTTTATGAAATTTAATTTTTTCAAGCTTTTATAGTGATTTGACACTTTTGACTCTTTTCCGATTTTCTCGACAAATACGCAATTTTTCAAAAATCCAAGTATGAGGTTTTTCTCTATTTATCGTGGCACAAAACATATATCAAAATGATTCAAAAACAAAAAATTGTGCATCAAAGGGTTAATCTAAACGCTGTGTTGAATAGACTTTAATGTAAACATGATGTCGTCCGTTGATAAAATCGGATGAAATCCAATATGTTGTCGAATTTATTAGAATTCTAATAAAATCGGCACCATATAATAATAACCACATTTTATTAAAATTCTAATAAAATATCGTTATTAACATTTTAATAAAATCTACACCATAATAATAACCGAAAATTTACCATACTAATAATATTAATATGTTAATAAAATGCACTTTATTTTATTAACGTTAATAAAAAATTCATTTTATTAAAAAAATAATAAATTATTAATATGTTAAAAAAGTGACAGCTGTAGTATAATTTGATTTGTAATTATATTTTAAAAGAATAAGGCACACAATACTACGCTTCTCGTCATCGCTACTTCCATATAGTTACTTTTGAGCGGTGTTATCTAATGTTGCACACTGGTAACACAGAGTTTGCTACGTTTGTGCTAATGTATTACAACTATAGTTATACATTTACGTTATGTCTATTCGTGAGACGTAGAAGAACGTATGTTTTTTTTTCTTGGGTTATATTTTTGAAAAGGAAAGTATGTTTTCTGTTGATTCTATCTGCGTTCAAAGAAAGTATGTTGACATACCGTATTGCGTTTTTGCACTGTTTTCGCGGAAATGATGAGAGATAACAACTTGGTGTCTTCGGAAAAGTTGTAGTACTCGAGGTCTTATAACTTTGCTGAAGACAGTTATCGCTTATCCCTTATGAGGTGCGCGCAAATCGCGTACTTAAAAAAGCAAAGAACGCTGATCACACCAATATGGCATTGTTGGCTATATTGCCAGATTTAAATGAGAATGAAAATGTCAGTAGTTTCAATGTGCTAGAAGTTTTCAAGTCACAATATAATATATTACACAATGTCGACGAAATTTCATTTATTTTATCATAAAAATTCAGTTTGTTGGATTTTAGACTTCAAAAAATCGACCTTAGTTTGCGTAAATAATTAGAATTTCATGTTATTTGTTCACTTCAATAACGGCCGTTTGAATTTGAAATCTTCTATAAAGTCGTTTGCATCATACAACAAATGTGTAGCGGTACTTTTCATACACAATGTTTACGGCAATGCAAATGAATACACATCTCTGATCAGTTGTGTGTATTCTTTCACAGAGATTTTGTCTGTGCGTGCGTGCGTTAATAATAATCACTTTTATTTGATAGAATTATATTCAATCACTATAGAGTGATTGCAATGTAGAAAGTACATTTCTTCAGTATCGACACACAGGGAACGCGATTTCTCATCCGCTCACTTGATATCTCGAAAAAGTGTATCAAATGATTCTCTATTTTAAAGAGATTCCTTTCTACATATCTTTTGTGAAAGAAGGAAAAATAAATCATTTTATTTCAACTTTCAAACTAATTAACAAATATTATTACGATTCTATTGGAGCGACGATTCATGTAACGTATTTAAGAAACAAATTTCATTTTGCACTTCAGTCAAAACACTTCTGTATTCCTATTTTAATTCTAACCGACACAATTCTATTCAGAAAAATCAAAGAACATTGCAAATTTTACCATAAAAATTAAAGGGCTAGCATATCCGCTAGGTATCGTTTTAGTCGGTTGATATTGCAGCAAAAAAAAAGTTCTCAGTGCTTTCAGCGCTTCAAACAAAACCGTTATGAATCTGACTTTTTTCAAAACAAAATAATCTAAAAATATTTTATAATAAAAAAAATGTAGAAAAAAGTTGTAAATTCAATTTATCAACACACAGTTTATAAAAAATATTTTATTTGCATCAATAAAACTTAGGAAAACTACAATTATTTCACTGCAAACGATTCCCACTTGAAATTCGAAACAACAACACACTTTTCACTTGTCAATATGGCGAATGGATGTTGTAATGGATTTTCGTTAGATGTCGCTGTTAGTTTCGAAGTTTCAAACTTCAAATAGGAATCGTATACAGTAGAATAATTGAATTGAATTTACAATTTTATTTTACCTTTTTTTCTATTCGAAGATGTTTTTTTATTTAAAAAAAGTCAGATTCATAACGGATATGTTTGCGGCGATGGTAGCGATTCAAGCGGAGTATGAACGCTACTAAAGCGGCCTTTTAAATTTTATGACAAAATTTCATAGTTCATATTGCGAACGTATTTCAGTAGGCGGCGCTATTTTTGCCTTATGTCTCGACACTGTGTGTGTAAACGACATTGTTCACTTTCAATGTGTTAACAACAGTTTCAAACTGTGTAAAGTGTATCTTACGTCAAATCCTTCTCTTGTATTTTTATACGAACAAAGCGGTCTTGATTGAATTCTATTCTGTTTCTGAAGTGTGCATACAATTTTAAAATCGATTACCTTGACTTTCTGAGTGTGGATCGCGGAGGTTATGCCCTTTTCGTCTTACTTTTGTGTATTCAGGCTCTTTTGACTAAAAAAAAAACAAAATGTTTGTCTTCAATAAAAATATGTATATTCAGGGAATTTCAGAATTTTACATGTCCATCTGGCTTGGCGTCGTGATAGACAAATGAGCCGCGCACTGAGTGATAGGGACCACTGTATACATTTCCACTATACGAGCTCTCACTATACGTTTGTTTGTTCAATTGGAAAGTTGCATATGGGCAAATGTCTTCGATGTATTCTGTATTCAATTGAAAAGATTAGTTGTTGAGGAGAATTAAAAATATAATATCAAAAAAAAAATTATCGTGTATAACTTATAACTAATCCTGAATGCGAACGATACGTCTTTTGTGAGCTTTCGATTGTAAGCTTTCGATTTCCAAAAAGACAACTGTCAATCATGCAGAAAGACTATTCTCGATGTGTGTATCTCATACATACATAATATACATCAAATATATGTAATGCATTTATTTACCATTTCCCTCCGCCTTGTAGCTCCCTGAATCATTTGAATTACTATTTCGGTTGCTTTGGCATCGTACCGCATGGTATTGTTGATCTCGATTTTGTTTGTTTTGTAAATTAGTGGTTGATGGAGAATCAGACATAGATGATGATGTGAGTCTACTTTGATTCATCTGTTTTCGCCTTCGCATTATGAAAACAATGCCAATAAAACCGCTTATGACAAATATTGACAGGCAAATTGGAATGAAGACCTTATAATTGGCGAATGTACTATCTCCCATGTGTGATATTGGGTTAGAATGATCTGCATTATAATTTACTGAAAATAATTTGAATGGGTGAGGGCAAAAGTGAGATTTGTATTCACAGCATATTTAAACGAAACAAAAATGAATGATTACTTCAAAGTGTAACATCTAAAGAGAATTTTTTCGAAGTGCAACACCGCGTGTTAGGTGTTACATTTCAATAAAATATGTTTTCCATGGATCACTTTGAAAAACATGTGGATCGATGTTTCTTTTCGAAATATTTTTGTGTTGGTGTTACATTTAATCAAAAAAAAAAATCGCATGCTTCGTTTTAATATATTTTTAACCTTCAAACCGTGAAATGGGCACTGCGTGCCCAAAACCAACTTTGAATTCTTGTATCTCAATCATTTCTTATCATAAATCAATGAAATAACTATGGTTCGATTCGTTGAACATTTGGCTACGAGAATTGGGTTAACATACGCGCACTAGCTTACCACATATGCGCGTACCCAAAAAGAAATTGACACCAGTTTAGCGCTGATTTGCTGCTCTGACACCACATTACACACAGTATGCTGCCGCTTTGCCGCTCTCACACTACAGCATACTGTCTGTAGTGTGGTGTGAGAGGAGCAAACCAGCGCTGAACTGTTGAAATGGGTGCCTGAGTGCCCATATACATTTTCCGACAAATTGCGTATAAAATTTAATGTGGGAATTTGAAATATGCATCATTGGAAAGATCTTGAAAAGCACATGTAATTTGAGCTATAAAACATCAAAATCGATCATCATTCTATCAAAATATGGCCATTTTATCAATTTTGGCCAAAAAAATTCTAACGGCCAAATATTTGTCAAATGCCGGCTTATTTTGAAGTTTTATACCAAAAATGACATCTACTTTTCAAGACCCTTCTAGTGATATACATAATTTTTTGATCCAACTTGCCGTTCAAAATCTCAATTTTTGACGTCAAAATCGGCCATAGTGGAATTTGTATGTATATGTTTTTGCCTTCATTTTTGTGAAGAGATCAACATTGCAATCTCCACTTTATTAAAAAAAAATTTCAAAAAACTTGCTGTTGTCTTTGTTTGATTTTCATACTTTTCCGATCAATAAATACTGAAATATTTACATTTAAAAATAAAAATTCAAGAAAAAATGTACATTTCCCTTTAAAATGCATTATGGGCACTCAGGCACCGGTTTCACGAACAACGTTAGAAAATAGGTTTCACTGTTTGAAGGTTAATTGATGTTATAGTTCAATAAATTGTCGCAATTAAATAATATTAATAAATATTTACACATGGACATATCTCAAAAACGGTTGAGTAAATATGCAAAACAGAACGTAGTGTATCTCCCTAAAGGGAATTCGAAAACCAGCTGGTTTGGTGGCTTAGAATACAAATCCGGTGGAATTTGGGCTGATTCATGAATTTTTGGGATTTTGCCTGATTCTTCGTCATTTTTCTTATGTTTTGTGTGGAATTTCACCACAACGCAAAGAAATGGAAGTTCTAGAATCAGGAAAAATCCCGAAAATTCATGAATCAGCCCAAATTCTACCGGATTTGTATTCTAGGCCACCAAACCAGCCGGTTGTCGAGTTCCCTTTAGGGAGATACACCACGTTCCGTTTTGCATATTTACTCAACCGTTTTCGAGATATGTCCATGTGTAAATATTCATTAATATTATTTAATTGCGACAATTTATTGAACTATAACATCAATTTAAAATATATTAAAACGAGACATGCGAAATGTTTTTGATTAAATGCAACACCAACACAAAAATATTTCGAAAAGAAACATCGATCCACATGTTTTTCAAAGTGATCCATGGAAAACATATTTTATTGAAATGTAACACCTAACACGCGGTGTTGCACTTCGAAAAAATTCTCTTTAGATGTTACACTTTAAAAACATCATTCATTTTTGTTTCGTTAAAATATGCTTTGAATCCAAGTCTCGCTTTTGCCTTCACCCATTCATTTGTTTTTTGTTGTTTATTGCATATAACATATCTTAATAAGAATTTTTTTAATCAAAAATTGAGATGATCAACTCACTGCCTTGTAACGTTGACGTGGTAAAATTATAAACAGCACTTGTTGATCCCGCATTATTGTAAGCTGTTACGCGAACTTGATATTTGGTGTTTGGATGCAAATCGGCGACAGTGTGAATGCGTTCAGTTGGTGCTATGTGACCGGCAATCACGTTCCACTGTGATCGCGAATAAAGTTTGCATTCGACGACAAAATAAGAAATACCGCAGCCGCCATCTCCCCATGAATCCAGCCAGCATGTGACACTGGTCGCATTTTGGGTAATTGTTTGAGAATGCTTTGGTTGAACTGGTGGGCTTCCAGTGGTGTGTGTATTAACGATATCACAGGGCAAACCTGTGCCTATTTTATTATAGGCGGTCACATACAATTGATACTTTGTGCCGCACCATAAATTTCCCAATAAATGATTATTAGTTTTCGAATCGATTTGTAATTCTTCCCAATCACCATTCTCACGTTTGAAATTAATAACATAGCCTAAAATTTGACTGCCACCATTTTTATTGTCAACCCATTCGAGTTTTAAACTTTCCGGAAATGCATTGACGACAGTTAATATTGGTGGATCGGGTGGAACTTTAATGATGATGCTATAAACAATTTCATCTTTGCCCCATGTATTTTCTACGGTACACGTGTAATTTCCCTCATCTGTACTCATACAATCCCGTATAAAAAGCGTGCCATTTTTGGCAATTGTTTTTCTTGCGTTTGTCTCCATTGCCTGACTCTCCTGTCGCCAAATTGTTACTGGTGATGGTACACCAACCTTTCGACACGATAATAACAGATTCTCCTTCCATGGACTCTCGATACTACGGCTGAATGATATAATTCGAGCCGGAACTTTGTTGTTTGGTGGCACTTTAACCATTCTTGTTTTTTCACCTTCGCCGATTTTCGTTGATGCCGTTACCCAGAAATCATAAGTTACCCCCTCCTACATTATTCAATCCATTGAAATAAAAATTAGAATAGACTACGAATCTAGCTACGAATGGAATGTATTTTATATAAGTACATACTTGTCGGTGTGCTTCGTGAACTTCGACGTTCGAGCCTAGCACCTTTTTGTGGATGCCTTCATGGCTACCACCTTCCGAAGGTAGCATATAAAAAGTGTATCCGGTCTACTCATACAAACAGAGAAAAAAAAACATGATATAAAAACAGGACATGACAGCTAAAGGAGCTACATGTTAGGGTTATATTTAAGCACTTTCACTTACAATTTCACCGTTCATATTGAGTGGCGGCAGCCATGAAACGATAATTTTGGTATTTGATGCAGGGATCGCTTTTATATCTTGTGGAGCAGATGGTACTGTTAAATAATAAAGAATGATGTGCATTGAAATTTACCGTTAAAATTAAATATGCAAACAAGTTACCATCTTCGTAAGTGCGACAGAATAGTTGTTTCGTTTTCACACCATCGCCAACTTTCGTATATGCCAGTACCCAAACACTGTAGTTGGTGTACTTTTTCAAATTGTCCACAGTCAAGTATTGATTATTCGATTTCACAACGTGCACTTCTTTAACATGGATATCATCGGTCGCAATGTAGAATATTTTATAACCTCGCACTTTGCCATTTTGGCTATCGACGTGTGGCGGTGACCACGTTATATAAATTGAAGTTGAACTCAAAACATCGCACTTCGGACTCTCTGGAGCGCTTGATGGAACTGAAAATCAATAAAGCGTCTCTGTTCAATAATGAATAATTCATGAAAATTAATGATAGTGTATAGTTTTCCTAACATATTTCGATTTCTTTCAGAAAAAGTGTTTTTCAACAAAATTCAATTTTGAAATTCTGGGGTTTTAAATTCGGTTTTTTTTTTAGTTTCTCACGAAGAATTTTGTGGTGGTTTCAGTTTGAAGCTTCGATTGAGCATTTTGAAAAATTAACCCAAAAATGCTAGTTAATAAGATACCGATCTTATTCACATATTAATAAGATACCGATCTTATTAACATATTAATAACATATTTTCGTTATTACCCTGGTAAATTTTTCAAAACGACTCATCATAAATGAAAACTGAAACCACGATAAAATTCTTCTTGAAAAACTGAACAAAATTCAATTGCAAAACCTCAAAATTTCAAAATCGAATTTTGTTAAAAACACTTTTTCTGAAAAAATCGAAATATGTTAGGAAAAATATAGATAGAGGAGTTATGCAATAAACAATTGAATCCGTGAGCATAAAAACGACTTATTAAACAATCGCCGAACAAAACGATACAAGAAAAAACTGCCAAACAAAACACACGTTAAAAACGTAACACAGCAGGACGGTACCGTTCAAAATGAAACTCCGCTGTGCTACACATTACCGCTGTGGTACGTTTTGTTCGGTAGTTTTTTCTTGTATCGTTTTGTTCGGCGATTGTTTAATAAGTCGTTTTTATGCTCACGGGTTCAATTCTTGTAGCGAAAATTTCATTGGAATCTGGTTTTATGCATAAATTTTTTAAACTACGCACTAAGAAAAAAAATATAAAAAACAACACAGTATACTAATAGATATTATAATATCGATCAAAATGGGATTCACAGGACAATTCGTATAAAATGTCAAAAACATCGTGTTGTTTGGAGAATTTCAACTTTGACGTATAAATCTGACCACTCTCCATCAGAGCATTGAAGCGGCTAGCCAGCCATGTAGAGCTGCTAGTGAACAGATATGTTTAAACAGCAGCTGTTGGTTGCGTGCATATTCGCTGTGACGCGCGTTTGTTCATTTAACGATTCTCATACAGTGTTTATCTCTTGCATTTACACAGAAACAGACAGAGAAGCATATACAAGACACGAGACACATCTTAAGCGACGCGTGAGTGCACACACATAGCTGCCGTTCGTGTCTCGTGTGTTTTATACGCTTCTTTTTCTGTTTTTGTGTGAATGCAAGAGACAAACACTGTGTGTCAGAATCGTTAAATGAACGACCGCTGGCCACAGCGAATATGCACGCAACCAATAGCTGCTGTTGAACAGATCTGTATACGTCAAAGCTGAAATACTCCAAACAACACGATGTTTTTGACATTTTATACGAATTGTCGTGTGAATCCTATTTCGATTGGATGTTGCTGTGTTGTTTTTTTTTTTTTGCTTAGCGTGCAGGTAGAGAATATATGGATACAATTGTTTTGTGCAGTGTTTTTCTCAACAACTGGAAACTATACACACTTTTTCTTGAACAACAGCAAGATATTTGACAAAGAGGGCGCTTTCTTATGTACAGCTGTTGGCACTCTCTTTGGTAAATTTTAAGAACTAGGAGAGTTTCCTATCATTGGTTTTTCTTTTTTCTTCTGTTTTCTAAGAATTCAATAATTTGCCAAGTTACAAAAACGTACCATCTTCTAAAGTTGTTATTTGAATCTCTTTGCTGGGTGGTCCATTACCTTGACTTGTGTATGCTTGTACAAAAATGTTATAGTGCGTGAATTTATTCAGATTTTCCAGTAATGTTTCAAGTTCAAAATGCGTTCGAGTTTCCACTGTTTTCAAATTGAAACCCTGAGTTGGACCAGGCGAATCCGGTATTAATTGATAACCAATATAATACCCAAGAATGTTCCCATTCCAATCGCTTTTATTTGGAGGATCCCAGAATAAAATAATCTCAGTTGAACTCTTTGCTTCGCCGCGCACATTAAGTGGTGGACCCGAAGGAACTTCTTCCAGTGTAGTCACTTGGACCACTTCCGAAAGTTCCGATGATCCAAGCTTATTTTCAGCAGCGATTCTTATGTGATATGCAGTGGCTGGATGTAAGTTATCAATGTTTATAACGGACTGTGTGCCGGGCACAGTGACTCTCTCAGCTGCTTGCCAAGTATCCACGACAGTTTTAAACTGTATGTTGTATTCTTCAATTGGACTGTTGCCTGAAAATGGTTGTGTCCATGTCAACTGTATACTACGCGATTGTTTCGAATTTATGCTTAAGCTTTTTGGCTGTTCAGGTACTTCTTGTACTATAACTTGCATAGACATTTCATCCTATATTATCGAAAAATGAGTTCGTTTGTACAAATTATTTGTTTAAAATTGAAATTGTTCAATAGGGAAATCTTACAGCTTGCAAAAATTGGCATTGTATTAACATGTTGACAAACAACATATTTTAATAAATATATTTGTCGTGAAACGTCATATTTATTGACATTATAAATATAGTGCATTTTTTTATCATATTTATATTTAATAATATATATGAAAAAAAAGTTTCATACAAAAAACAAATCAGTTTTTTCCAGACATAAAAAATGTCGAACAAAAATGCGTGTGGCGAAAACTGACTTGTTTTTTGTACGAAAATCGATCTCTATGAGCCTCTATATAAACAGATAGGAAACGTCAAATAACAGAAGTCAAGCGCCACCTGGAGACTGATTGCAGAAACAGAGAATCATGTACATAGTGAGCTATAGAAAATGTGCATCTGTGTTAGTGCGAGCAGTAGAAGTATCCGTGAATATATGTGTACAGATATGGCACACTACACTCAGTCCCCAGGTGACGCTCTTCTTTCTGTCAAATCAATGATAATAAGGCTGATGAAAATATATTGGCGTAAATAAAAAGTATATTATATCAAGAGACTCGCATTGTTAATAAGAAACAATACAAATGACATTAAATCAGCATATTAGCGCCATTTACCAAAGATAGGTTATTTAACCCTCAACTGCATAAGCCCGCCTTTTGGCGGGCATCATTTAAACACCTGTATAATGTGAATCGCGGATGACATTGCTTCAAGGGGAATTTTTATTTGTCAATGTTTTTTCTTTATTTTTGTCTTTGGCGTCATTTGTCTATGTCGTACGATTGGTGAGTTATAAACAAAAATGTGCACGAAAACGAAAATTTGACAAAATAAATTATTCGGTTTCCAAATTAGACATATTTTTGACACTTTTAAACAATGGATTTCATTGTTCTCTGAATTATTTCTATCGCATTTCCTGACTAAACCATGGGAAATCTAGGATTATGAATATTTTTTTCGTTATCTATGGCCAAAAATCAACCAAATACCAGTACTCCCAGTCCTGGGAAAAATTCATGCAGTTGAGGGTTAAATAGTGAAACAATATATCTGTGAATCGTGTGCATTAGCAAAGTTCAAAACCATGGACCATGGTCCAATAAACTTAATATATTGGATTCAGGATCCAGGATTTCCGATATTGTCCGCAATTTGTTTCTCACAAAATTACACATTACAATTGTGCAATTACATAGGAAAATATTTATCTCTACGTTTTTTTTTGTTGATCAAATTTAATTGTATTAATTTCAATTGTATTATTCAAATAAAGAGTTTACGTTTATGAATAAACATGAGCATACATAGCAAAAAATAAAAGTACGGGTGTTTTTTCAGCCAAAGACGCATTCAGCCGATATTTCCGCTAGTAATTTGAGCTGCAGGCGAAATTCCGCTTATAATCTAGTCGGAATTTCGTCTGAAACTCCATTTGCTAGGCAAAATATAAAACTGGGCATCTCTACCAGTCGAAATTCCGCCTAAATGTGGACTTTTATTTTTGACTGTGTACTCAAGCAACTTGAGTATCAATCAATTTGGGGCGCATAGTAAACACGAAGTAGAACTACGCGCTCGGTTGCACAGCTCGTGCTGTAGGAGATCTTACCTGGCCAAATGAATTACTTGCTTGACAAATGTATACGCCAGTATCATGGCGAAATGTGTGCGAAATCCCAAGCTCCGAAACCATGCCATCGTCCAAGACTTGTTCACGTATCGTATATCTGAATCGCAATTAAAGTATCTGTTCAATTTATATCATATCTGAGATCAGTTGGTTCATATTTCATCCATATGGTCCCCAAATATCGTAGCTGTTCCTACGCACTCAAAACAGAATTAGTACGATTGACATACCACCAATGGTAATCTGTCAAATTACAACCACTACTAACAAGCCTTATATTTGCCATATTTCTAAGCTAGGATAGATATTCTATTCCAGCTTAGCTAGTCGGCATGCGGTGCCCAACAAAGATAGTAGTGATTGTAATTTCACCATTGGTGTATGTCAATCGTACTAATTCGTGAGTAGCCATCTAGCGAGTTGTGCCAGAACCATTTTTGTGTATGTGCGAAGGGTAGTTTCGGGAAGCGATTGTAAAATCACGAGAATTGATATACGTGACATTTAACATACCTTGAATCAGTGGATGAATCTAAATGCTGTTGAGAATTTTGAATTTTCCATTTGATATCAATTGGAGTATCACCTTGTACATTGCACTGTACATGTACTTGCTTTCCTTTTGCGACAGATATTTGCTTGTTTTTCGTTGTGAAATGGGCCGGCACTGTTTCATTTTTAAATTAAGTCATAAAATCATCATACCGTTTTATTTGCATTTAGATTTTATTCTTCACTGTTTGTTATATATTCACGTTAGATTTGTCCGTTAATGAGTCAACGATGAATATCCATGTTGAAATATTTTTGAAAATGAGGGAAATGATAACGTAAAAAGTAAGAAAATAATGTCAGCTCACCATTTACTTTAAGAAAAATAACTTTGCTAACACCAGCACCTATGTTGTTTTTTGCCTCACATAAGAAATGTCCTTGAGCTTCTTTTGTAATTTTTTTGAAGTTCAAAGACCCGTTACCGTACAATGACACGTTTGGCTCGTATAAAAATTCCTTATATTCACCTGGAGTCGATCCAATTGCCTTTCCTTTTGAAGTAACCGAGAAAGAAGAACAACAACCATCACAACTTGAATTTAAATGGAAGATTTAGGAAAGAGAACACTCAGTAAATGACTGAGTCAGTCATAGTAGCCATGTGTACTATAGATTTACATTTTCGATATGACATATCAAATATCGTCAGATGCATTTTGCTTCAATATTTCGTGGTTTGACGATATTTGATATGTTTTTAGTATGAAACTTTTCTTCACAATTTTTTTGAAAATTGGTTAATAAAATCCGATTTTCTTATTAATATTTCAATAAGATTATCTTATTAATAATAAGATGGATCTTATTAACTTTTCAATAAAATGGCGATCTTATTAATAATAAGATAATATGTTAATAATATCATAGAATCTTATTAATCTAATAATATGTTATGTTTGAGTTATTAACGTCCCGTTAATAATATCTATGGGTGAGATTGAGAGTAGTGTATGTTTGATTGACTTTGTTACGAAAGAGAAGAGCAAGTTTCTGTCGACTTAAAAATGGTTAAAAGCGAGTATGTTCGTTTTTAGCGGGTCCTCGCGGTTTTTCACGGTTTCCGCGGAACTGATAAGAGATAACAACTTGGTGTCTTCGGCAAAGTTGTAGCACTCGAGATCTTCTATAACATTGCTGAAGTCAGTTATCTCTTATCTCTTATCAGTTCCGCGAAAAGCGCGAAAAATGATAAGAAAAAAAATTTCTATATAAAATTTGCTTTTTTATGTGCGCGATTTGTGCGCAACTGATAAGAGATAAGAGATAACTGTCTTCAGCTTAGTTATAGAAGACCTCGAGTACTACAACTTTGTCGAAGACACCATGTTGTTATCTTTTATCAGTTGCGCGAAAACCATGAAGACCGCGGAGGCTAGACGGTACTACGACATACTCTACTTTAACGCCAACAGAATCATCAGAAAACATACTCGCCTTTTCAAAAATATAAATCGAAGAAAAAACATACTCCACTCTCAATCTCACCCATAGATATGTTAATAATTAATAACATTACTATGTTAATGCCTGTAAATCTATAATGTGTACGGGGGTGTGTTTTGTCTCTCTACGCTTCTATGCATACGGATTTTTTTGAAAGTATAAGTAAATGCTTTCATCACAAGGTTTACCCGAATATTGGAATCGACATTCTTCAGAAATATCATTTAAAACGTCATTCATGATTCAAGTTAGTGAACTTCCGATAGGGACAAAAGCAATGCAAACTGAGCACTGAAAGGTTTTGAATTGGCTAAATATATTAACATTGCGATTTACTCTGTTGAGTACGTAGTTCAAGATACACGAATTATATGAAAATTATACGTGAAATATATTCGGTAATACACAGCTATCTGCACCATTTGATATTTATGCACTAAATACTATAACTATTTTCTGGAAAATAATGAAATGTTTGTTTTAATGTATAGTCGTCGCGTTATGTAGTGACCGGATAAAAATTTAGAAATAATCCTGAAAAACAAGCACAGTTCTGTCAACCAAACAATGTATATAACAAAAACACAACGATTTTATGAAGTGAGAGTGAGATAATCTTATTTGCACATATACACAGGGTGGCACACAAGACGCTTGAAAACTTGATCTAAAATCAAAAGTCGTCACGCAAGATATTTTTCCTTATTGTGAGTAAATTTTCACAATAGTGAATGCGAAAAATAATTTTGAACTTTGTATCCAGAGATAAACCAGCGCACAGGAGCGTCACTCCATTTCAACCTCGTCTACAGGTTTTTCATCTGATATAATCTATACACAAACCATGAAAAAGATTAGATTCTAGTTCGTAGAATATTATAAAAGAACTCCAGTCTTTATTGGACCACTATTACCCATGTATAACTTTATTTGAAGGTCGGAACTGTGATAATCCCGAATTATGGGATTTTCTCACCATTTTCTCCATTCTGACCCCTAAGTGACATCATGTGATCGTTATCTCTTATCAGTTACGCGAAAAGCCGCGAAAACGTGAAAAACGCGAATTCATAGTTTCTCACTTTTCAAGGAACTGATAAGAGATAACGAGATGGTGTCTATGGCAAAGTTGTAGCTCTGGTCGAGTACTACAACTTTACTATGACACCAAGTCGTTATCTCTTATCAGTTACGCGAAAAAATGATAAGAAAAAATTCGCGTTTTTCACGGTTTTCGCGGCATTTCGCGTAACTGATAAGAGATAACGACTTGGGGTCTGTAGCGAAGTTGTAGTACTTAAGCTGCTTTACAACTTTAGTATAGACACCATCTCGTTATCTCTTATCAGTTTCGCGGAATACGCGAGAAACCGCAGAAAACCGTGAAAAACGCGAATGTTTTCTTATCATTTTTTCGCATGACTGATACGAGATAACGACTTGGGGTCTGTAAAAATCATAGTACTCGACCAGAGCTACAACTTTGCTATAGACACCATCTCGTTACCTCTTATCAGTTCCGTGAAAAATGATTAAAAAAAACGCGTTTTTTTCGCGGTTTTCAGCGGTTTCTCGCGTATTCCGCGAAACTGATAAGAGATAACAAGATGGTTTTCGGCAAAGTTGTAGAGCAGCTTGAGTACTACAACTTCGCCAAAAACATCAAGTCGTTATCTCTTATCAGCTACGCGGAAACCGCGAAAACCGCGAATTTTTTCGTATCATTTTTTCGCGTAACTGATGAGAGATAACGACTTGGTATCTGTGGCAAAGTTGTAGTATTCGACCTGCTCTACATTTCTGCCGAAGAAGCAAGTCTCTTACTTCTTATCAGCTTCACTAAAACTAAGGTGGGAAAATTTCGCGATTTTCGCGGTTTTTCGAGTTTTTCGCGGAACTGATAAGGGATAAGTAATATTTGTTGCAGCAAAACTATAGCAAACCTCGAGTATTACAACTTTGGCTCCGACACTATTTTGTTATCTCTTATCACAGTCCAGATTTCATATGAAGTACATATGGGGCCCTGGGGTCCCCAAAGAACAGGAATATGTGAAATGTCAGAAGAACCGTCATAGTGTTAAGGTCTTATCATTGAGGAATTGTAATTTTTCGGGTAAAACATTTGCATCTACATTTCGCAAGTTTTGTAAATAGCAAATTTCCACTTTCATTTAAAAAGTCCCATTTTCCCCTTATTGGACATTGTAAAATGTGATTAAATTTCAAAATATCCATTAAAAGAGTTTTGAAGTAATTTTAGACCCATTGCTTCGTAGAAACATATTAATTTCCAACCACCAAAGCTCTGGAAAGTGCAATTTTTATGTATCCTCCGAACAAAAGTTCAATTTCATACATTCAGATGTAAAAATACGGATGTATGACCAAAATGACAACGAAATGGATATTCAAGTGTTCGTGGACTCCCATTATTTTCACGGGAAAATAGCAGTTTTCTAAGACCGAAATGTCGTCAGAGGTTTATTCCACGTGTTTTCCGAACAAAAACATCATTTTCAGTGGAAATAGAGCAAGTTGAAAAATTCACTTCAATCCGACCTATTTTTCGACCATGAAATGCCCTCAGTTTTAATCGATCTTTCGTCGAAAATTAAGCGGATATGGTCTTTCGTGAGCCTTTTTCAGCCAGTAGATGCGTATTTTTGGCAGCAATTTCATCGTAGAATGCGACTCTCCGTACAAATTCCGTTCATTGATGAATTGCCTATGCCCAGAACTTCCAAATACGAATTTTCCCGGATATATGGCATATGCCATTTTGTTGGTATGGTAGCCGGCTACAAACGCTCAGTTTTTGGTAAAAATTGTCGGACTCATTTTTGAGAAATCGCGTTTGGTGTGAAATTTATGGGTGTCGATTTTTCATAAAAATCGACTTTTTTCTTTTATATCACATAAACATTGGCATGTATGTACGGAACTTTTTGAAGGTCTTCTCAAATAATTACGAGCCGACTTTTCTCGATGGGCGTCTGAGCAAACAATGAAATATAGATATGTAATATCCACTGGATAGTTGGAATATCAGTTATTTCGTTGCGTCGGCAACAGCGGCAGGCGCACTCGTTCGAACGAAGTGTGTGCGCATACACATCGTCGTTAAATTACTAACACAAATGAATGGTTCAGCGATGGACTGTACGTGTACGCGCGCTTTATCGCCTTTTCTCCTTGCTTCGTCGGAATATATACACGTACAGTCCATCGCTGAACCATACCGTCCTCCGTGATATTAGATTTCTTCCCAAAGTTCGATTGTTTTCAAAAAATACCATTTCCTTGCAAACACATTCAAAATAAATGGTGGACATGAGAGTATAACTCGATCCAGTGCAACTGAAAATGAAATCTGGAGGCTGATTCTAATTTTTTTTTATCATTTTGCAACATTTCGTGCCTTTAGAGCAATAAAAAACAGCAAAGAACAAAAAATTTATAGTCTTCTTCTTTTAGTTAGTAGACTTCGATGAATGATGCACACACAACAACATTCAAATTCAAATGCCAACCAATACATACAAGCACACGGCTCGCCGCTCGAAATCGCAAGTCGGTTGCTTGTCGTTCCTTTGAAATGTCATTGCATGTCTCTATACAGCATTGTAGAGTGAGTAGCATGACTATATTTTACAAGGCACAGAATTGCCAACAACTGTCGTATCACTGCAAACTCCGTATAAGTAGGCCTGTTATGCTTTTGCGCTCGCTGTAAATATATTAGGTTTTTGCGCTCGCAAATTTGCTGTTCGCCTTTTGACTAAAAAATTTCTGTGTTTGTGTTCTGCGCACAGGTTTTGTAGGAAAGGTTTTTCTTCTCAGGTCGTCATTTGGCCAACAAAATCGAATCATAAAGCCATTACATTTGTTCCCGTGTGTTATTCTTCTCCATCGTACATGTGATATAGTATTCTCATTTTTTTCTTAGTTTCTCGATAGAAAAATTGCAGATTGGATTTGATTAAGTAAAAAAATAAACAATTTTGCACAAATGTATTAATGCGAGAATTCGTTCAATAAATGCCCGTTTATATCAAATAACTACGTGACTCTACGTTGTGGCCGTACTTGACCATAGTTCGGTACATTGTATACAGAAAATCCAGATGGCGGAAACAATACTGATTTCTAGGTGCACCGGTACTTTGGGAAGAAGGAAAAAGAACAATAAGTCACTCGCACATCACACGAATGAAAAGGCGAAGAGAAAGAATGCAAATAATATGCTACTGAATGAGTTATGAATGCGATAGAAAGAGAATACAGTAGTGTTTATACGCGTCAGGACTGATGATGTTAGCTCATAACACGCTCTGGTAAAAAAAAAGCCTATAGTTAAAGATTCAATACTTACTCCATGTGACAATCGGTTTGGGCCAACCATTTGCTTGGCAATGCAATGAAATATCTTCACCCGCTTGAACGCTCGAGTCTTGGGGCTGTAGAATCCATTTTGGAGGAACATTTACCGTTACTTGAACCGTGAAACGTTCACTTCCGGCGACATTTGACGCGATACAGGTATAGTTGCCAGAATGCTCTGATGAAATGTGGTCGATCACCAATGATGCTGAATACTCATCAATACGACGGATGACCTCGTCATTGCTTCGATATACATTAATGGCATGATTTGAGGACAATCGATACAGCTTTAAGGAGGGATTCAGAAAAATTTAGTACATACCCAGTGCCAAGCAGTGCCTTTCCATTTCGTTCCCAGCGAAATGTAAGTGGGAGATCTCCTTCTAAAATTTGACATGAAATAGCAGCTCTCATGCCCTCCTTCAACATGTTTGTCATTGACTGGATTGGCATTATTTTCGGCGGAACTTTGAATTTTTATTGAAGAAGTCAAGAATTAGGATTAAACACATAAGTGATATACAAACATTCAAATATTGTAAATTAATACACACGCGGAAGAAAGGTTTAGATATTCGCTACGCCCAATTTTTTTTTCCTTGAAAAAACCAAAATTTCAGATTTCTCAGACAAAATTTATTTCGGCGCCTCCATTTTACATACATGATGGAGGTTCGAAAAATAGCGAATATCTAAACCTTTCTTCCGTGTGTGTATTAAACTAGGGCCGCCCAGTGGTCCCGCGAGTTGTACTCTACTTTATTTGATGCGCATAAATGGAGCCATCTCTAATGATTACGGAGAGTCACCATAGGTCGTATACAATTGATGTTGAGGAAAAGAAGTTGAAGAATAAGAAGTAGGCATTCTATTCACATTGCAAAAATGGCATTCAGTAGATATGAATCGGTAAGAATTATCTTGACCCTCAAACTTTTCAAAAAATAAAACCGTAACATAAAGCTGGCAACCTTTTTGATCATGAAAATAGTAAACAATGCAGCGCCACCTGGGAACTAAGTGCAAAGTGTCATACTTTCAACGTTTGAACTAACACAGACGCGTACTTCTTATAGCAAAGTATGTGCTAGATTCTCCATTTCTCCAACCAGTCCTGAGGTGCCGCTTTATTATTCTTGTTTGACGTTTCCTATCTGTTCGTACAGACGATCAGAGAGGCTGGAAGCTGGTTTAAAATGGTAGAGAAACATAGAAGGCGTTAAAAAAATGAATCATGCATAAAGTGAAAATAAAAGAGAAACATAGCTAGTTATTTTCACTTTGTGCATGATTCATTTTTATTTCAAACGCCTTCTATGTTTCTCCTTTATTTTAACATTTGCTTCCCAGTGATATCAAACTGATAAGGAATGCAAATTTCGATGTGCCAATAACACCAATTGGGTACACAAAATACTGTATCAGAATCATGGCCAAATTTTAAATATTGGGCAAGCATAATCAATGAAACTCATCACTTCTTCAATTGGCTCCGACTCCGAATATTTCGATTTGACGCATTCGTTTTCTCATATTTCAATTTGACGCATGTTTGCACAAATAGTTAAAAATATTAAGTTCATTCGAATAATCGTATCAGGAGTTCATAATTGTCAGAACTAGAGAGAACTTAATCGAGCTCTGCTTATTGTACGGCAGCAGCATACTCACGCAGACCCGCTACACACACAAAAAGAATTTATGAAAAATGGTTAAACGTCATCGCAAACCGAGATAAACAATACATTTAATGGTATTGACATATACGCGATAGAATTCATCGCAAAAGTAGATGTCAGCACCATTATGTATAGGGTTTATTCCGGTTTGCGATGAAACTTAGAGGTTATGTTCTCTCTGCGTACATGTTCGCCAACGTTTCACATGTTCGAACTACACGTTCATAGGTTCAATGGGCCTTTCTCATGCTTGTGTATGATTCTATCTTGCATGGCTGTACCACGACCACTGTCCACTTTTTGCTGTACAGCTTGCTCACAAGTTCGCAAAGTTGTTGAACGTGTGAGCGAATCACGAACTACAATCGTGCATATGCATGCATATTATGCTCGTTTCCCGAACCTATGAACATGTCTTTCGAACGTGTGAAACTTTGGCGAACATGTGACGGGCCTGAGTGAGTTATGTTTATTGTATACCAAAGACTGAAACATACCTAAAACTTGAATCTCAACATTTCTCCGGGATGTTTGTTTGACTTTATTTTGTGCCATACATGTGTATGTTCCAGCATCTTCTGTGCGTTGCAATTGTTCAATCACAAGTGTGCCATTGTTGTAAGCTTTTTGTCTGCGGTTGATGGGTAAAGTTTGTCCATCTAGAATTCGAAACAAATGTATAATTTTAAAAAAACTTCATTTAAATATTATTGTATCAAAAAATTCCATTCCAAGGTTCATACATTGAAATATATTGAAAAAATATACATACTCATTAACCCATTATCTACTAGTGGTCGAAAGATCGACTAGTGAGTTTTGATATTTGGTACTATCAAAGATCAATGTTTCCGACCATTTGACAGTTGTTGGCATCCCTGCGATTGTTGCAATACATTTATGTTCATTGGGACTCACAGCACCATTAAAAAATTGCGGTTTAGTAGCTGCTATTAAAAAATATGGACAGCTATCGCCTAAAAATAGGAGCTACTAATATCTCGAGATATAGGCGTTATCAAAATGAGATCTCTGAAAATTGTGTCCTTTGCACTATCCGTCGAATAAGAAAACAGAGCACAAAAACGAAAACAGAGCTTAAGAATCGCACTGAGTGGACGTTGCGAGTAGCACACACACTCACTTGAATGAAAGACGATAAATTCGTGTGCGCTGCTCGTCTCACGAAAATGAGTTTTTATACGCAAAGTACGTTATACGCACACCGCACACTATGTTCTGTTTCTTCTTCTTCGTTTTGTTCGTATCTGCTATAGCAAAAAGAAGAAAAAGAAGAAGAAGCGGAAGACTGGTGAGTGAGTGAGGCGCACATGATTCTTTTAGATGAGTAGAGTATCGCACAGAGCGCTGTGGCTCTCATTAAAATGAGCTGCACTGCGAACTGAGTGTGCGATTCTTAGCCCCTGAACGAAAATTCGACAAAATAAATTTCCCTTCAAAATTAGACATATTTTGGACACTTTTAAACAATGGATTTGATTGTTTTCTGATTTATGTCAATCGCATTTCCTGATTTAACCGTGAGGAATCCAGGATTATGAATATTTTTTCAATTATCTATGGGCAAAAGTCAACCAAGTACCAGTACTCCCAGCCCTGGAAAAAGTTAATGCACTAGAGGTTAACAGCCAGTGATCGAAAAATCGACCACTACATTTTTGCTCGTATAAGAAAATTTCGATTGAAATCTTTGAAAAATTTCTATTTCAACTATTTTTGGGCGAAATTATCTCAAAAGTATACTAAAATGAGTTATTTATTATGCGAACGCTCAAACGGCTACCGGAAATGTACGCGTAAATACACGCAATCGAGTGTATTGTAAATTTGTCATCTAGTAGCCATTGCATGTCTATGGATTACTGAATCAGTGCGTACATTAACAGTAGTCGTTTGAGCATTTGCATAACAAATAACTCATTTTAGCATACTTTTGAGACGATTTCGCCCAAAAATAGTTGAAACTGCAACTCAATAGAACACAACTGCTGTAAAAATGAGTAGATGGAGTTAGACGTTTCAATAACGTCATGTTCTCGTTGTGTGTCACTTAATTTATAAACAAAAAAAGAATCCTGGTCGAAAATGGGTTAATGCTGATTCCAAGTGCTCAAACTTTAATTAAAATTCAAAGTCAAAATTTTTGCTAGTGGGTATTTTTGAAATTTTTCGTTGCTATGAAAATTGTTGGCCCAATAATGATGTTTTGCATCAAAACATCCGAAGGTTTCATTATTTTTTTGGATTTTTTGAGATTCTTCGTTAAAGTTCGAACTTTAATTAAAGTGCAAACTTTAAAAAAAATCGTTTTTTCGCATTTTCGGGCGGTTTTCTTTATAGAATGGAATGAATTGAGACGCCTTATGATGATCTGACCCAAAAGCCGTCAGGAATTTACCTATTTTTAGGTTTTTTTCGATTTTTAAAATTTTTCACGAAATTTTTTTTCGTTTTTCCTGGCATTTTTCGAGAAATTTCAATGCGAATGAACATATTTGGGCATAAAAAGAGGTTTTACATTGGAATTTTCCAATTTTTTTCGATTTTTTGTAATTTTTCTGCAAAATTTTTGAAGTATTATAACTTCTCAACGACTCGAAGTAAAGCAATAGTGTCTGTGGCAACTTTTTAGTACTCCTCAAGACCTTTGCATACCATGTTCTAAAAGTACTAAAAATGTACTAAAAAGTACTAAATTGAGTAAAACCTTTACTTTTGGGTATTTTTACGATTTTCAACATTTACTAGATTTTAGTAAATTTTTAGTACTTTTAGAACATGGTATGCAAAGGTCTTGAGGAGTACTAAAAAGTTGCCACAGACACTATTGCTTTACTTCGAGTCGTTGAGAAGTTATAATACTTCAAAAATTTTGCAAAAAAATTACAAAAAATTGGGAAAAATTGGAAAATTCCATTGTAAAACCTCTTTTTATGCCCAAATATGTTCATTCGCATTGAAATTTCTCGAAAAATGCCAGGAAAAACGAAAAAAAAAAAATCGTGAAAAATTTTAAAAATCGAAAAAAATCCAAAAAATAGGTAAATTCCTGACGGCTTTTGGGTCAGATCATCATTAATCGTCTCAATTCATTCCATTCTATCAATAAAACCGCCCGAAAATGCGAAAAAACGATTTTTTTTTCTAAGTTCGCACTTTAATTAAAGTTCGAACTTTAACGAAGAATCTCAAAAAAATCCAAAAAAATAATGAAACCTTCGGATGTTTTGATGCAAAACATCATTGTTGGGCCCAACAATTTTCATAGCAACGAAAAATTTCAAAAATACCCACTAGCAAAAATTTTGACTTTGAACTTTAATTAAAGTTTGAGCACTTGGAATCAGCATAAGTGAATGAGCCCCATGGTCACTCATTTAGTGAGTACCGCACGCGGATGAGATGAAGCAAAGCGAAAGAGAAGCGCGCGAAATCATTTTTCGACAAATCGCGTATAAAATTTAATGTGAGAACTATGAAATATGCATCATTGGAAAGATCTTGAAAAGTACATGTAATTTGAGCTATAAAACATCAAAATCGATCATCATTCTATCAAAATATGGCCATTTTATCAATTTTGGCCAAAAAAATAAATATGTATATGTTTTTGCCTTCATTTTTGTGGAGAGATCAACATTCCAAAAAACTTGCTGTTGTCTTTCATATTTCGATTTTTTATGACTTTTATCACACTTCAAAGTGATTTTCATACTTTTCCGATCAATAAATACTGAAATATTTACATTTAAAAATAAAAATTCAAGAAAAAACTGACATTTCCCTTTGAAATGCATTATGGGCACTCAGGCACCGGTTTCACGAACAACGTTAGAAAATAAGTTTCACGGTTTGAAGTTTAAACTGTAGTTGTTATAATGAAAATGTTAATAACCTAATTTAAAATCGATGTTTCATTAGACATAAGAATGGACGCGGGGGTATCATTACACTAACAACAACATCATTTACAAAATGAAATTCGTCCAAAACCTGCTGACACGGAGTAAACGCGCTCACTTTACAAACACACTTGTTCATCTTGCCGGTTTGACAGCTAATGTCAAATCGACTTGTGTTTCAGTGTAGTTTTCTTTTCGAACGCAAGCGTTTTCTCAGTATGGTCCGCAAAATTAAAAAAACAATTCTGCCACGAACCAGTTTCTATTTCGAATCTAACATTTTGTGTTTTTTTTTAAATTATGGAAACTCCAATCATATAAAACCGTAATTTTCTCTCATACAACTCAATTTAAAATGGAAGAAAAACAATTTATTTTTAAATACTGGTTTATTCTACCGAAAGAAAGCAATTTTTTTGTCTTGTGTGCCAGCGGCATATTTGCACAATTTTATTTGGCAGAATCGAAACATTTTTATTTATTTAAAATTCAAATAATAATTATTATTTCACCACACAACACAATGACGACTATGTTTGACACTGCATTTAATACACTCATCAATGTAGTTCCCGTCAAAATGTGTGGCGTTGTTGGTTTAACGTTTAATGATCGAGACTATCGCGGTGAGAATGGATTAATAAAGCAGTTGTTAATATAGCTTCGTCTTGACAACATCAATGTCTATTCATTCAAGTGAAGTAGTTTACAAATTTATTTTGATAAATCATCTATATTTTGATTGTTTACACACTGACAAAAAATTTTAAAAATGAAAATAAAGATCATTTTTGTGATGCAAACTTGGACCTACTATTAATGGCGCTGCATGTTTTCATTGTTTTTTAAGATGAAAAGTTGATCGTGTTGCAGCAAAGTCTCAATGCACAAAATGATCGTGTGTATGCAGTGTCAATTGTCGACATTCCTGAAGACGAATTGACCGTTCAGCGATTTCAAAATGCTTCACGGGTTATGGTTTGGGGCGCCTTTTCGGCCGGCCAAAAATTTCCGCTTGTTTTCATTGAAGAAGGCGTGAAAATCGATCGATTTGTTTACAGACAGAAAATGTTGCGTCAAAACTTGTTGCCACAGTCCAGACGATTATTTCACAATGAACCATGGGTGTTTCAGCAAGATGGTGCACCGTCACACAAAGCGGACATAACGCAAGAGTGGTGCCGGTCGAATTTGCCCGATTTTATCGATAGAGATTCATGGCCGACATCGTCTCCTGATTTGAATTCGCTGGATTATTTTGCTTGGGGTTACATGGAATCGAAGCTCAAGGGTCTAAAGATCACACAAATCACCACAATAAATGCATTCAAAAAGAAAAAAAAATTTTTTGGAATAAAATTCCCATGAATATGGTGCGCGCCGCGTGTGAATCATTTTTTAAGCGTCTGCGGCTGGTGATCAGAGCAAAGGGCAATCGAATCAATCCGAAAACGTGATTCGTAAACTTTGTAACAAATACGTTTTTTAATTAAAAATAAAAAGGACAGTTATTCTGCGCCACCCTGTACAAAATACATTGGTGAATTTCAAAGTTAAAACCGATGACATCAAAAAATCGGGAATTTATGAAATTTCATGCAGCGAATGTGAAGAAAAATACACCGGCCAAACGAAACGAAACGTAGCATAGAAATTCGTTTGAAAGAACATTTAACGAGTGTGCACAAACGCCAAATTGGCATCGTCAAGCAACAAAATCAGCTGTGGCACTACACGCGTTAGAAAACAACCACACTTGCTTTCTGTGTATATTTTTCTTCTTTCTTTGCTTCTCTCACTAACAACCGCAAACGGAGAGCTGAGTCCAGTGTAATTTGATACTCGCTGAGCAGAGCTGGAAAAAACACTCTGTGTGTGCGCGCAAGTAACTAAGAATGCAAACACAGTGGATGTGCGGCGCCCACAGCGCTTGTATTTTTGGTGTGCGTGCACATTTACATAGATTCCGCTAAAAGAATGACAACCATTTTCTGGGTTATTCTGCCTTATTTCAACTTGACACGATTGTGACTTTTTTTCAATAGATGGCGCTGTATGTGTCACATGTAAATACATATGAAAATGATAATCTATGAAAAACTTTGAACTTTCATTGATTTTGCGTTTTTTCAATAGATGGACTCAGAGCCATTTCTAGCGGGGGTTCAAGTGGTTCAAAGAACCAGCGCGCACGAGCGCCGAAGGCGCTCGTGGGCGCTCCGAATTGAAAATTTTCTGAAAGTTGCGCGAGAGCGCCGAAGGATTTAATTTTATAAATTAAAAATTTTCAATGTTCTTGAATGAAGCGTGAGAGCGCCGTTTTTCATTCAAATTTGGAACACAAGGGCGCCGAAAAATATTCAAGGGCGTCAATGGGAAGCAATTATTTATTTTAAAATAGAGAATATATTATTTTAAAATAAAGAATCGCTTTATTGATTGTTTTCGTCGCCCCTGCCTTTTTCGGTGCCGTTGAGTTTCAAACTGAGAAGACGAATGCATTTAAAAGAGCGCTCGATAAAGTTTAATGGTATGAGTTTTGATTCGAACAAGTGGCAATTAAAACAGCGTCCGAAAAAAAAATGCTAAACAAAACGAAACCCAGTTTTTTTTTCATACGGAGCTATTGAACTCTATGTAGAAAAAACTATGTGTTGCATTCAATACAGCGACCAATTCAGTACGATGTTTTTATTCTCGGCGAATCATTTGTGCATACGTAAGTAAAAATATTGTTATTGAATGTGTCGCTCATCGACCAGCGGTCGTAATGCGATTACTGCTATTTAAGCACACTAGCATATGAAAACATCAGCCACACAGCGAAAATGTAAAAAAAAAAATTGGGTAAGTGTTTACATGAAATTGAATTATGACGAATCGCCGCGCTATTGTCGCGCTGTCAACTCTCTCAAATGTATCACTTGTCACATTGTTTTTCTGACTCTATGCATTAACAAATGTGTATGATTTTGCGCTACGTTCACTTGGATAAAGCAAATCAAAGATGGGAAATAAAAGAGAGCTTTGTGAAATTTACCGACATCTCATCAGCTAAGACTGGTCTGTTGATTACTGGCGCAGCTACCACTGAATTAGAGGCGTTAGGGTTGGATTTGGATGATATGCGTGGTCAGGGCTTTGATAATGGTGCCCCAATGAAAGGCAAAAATGTCGGTGTTCAAAGGAGAATCTTGAATCAGAACCCGAGAGCATTTTTCAATCCTTGTGGTAATCACTCATTAAATCTCACTGTTAATGACGCTGCGGATTCTACTTTAATTGGAACACAATACTTTGCCACAGTCCAGAAGATTTATGTATTTCTATCAGCTGCAACAAATCGGTGGGATGTATTGAAGAAGCATTTGATTCCAGCAAAAGCAAAAACACCGAAACCGTTATGCACAACGCGATGGTCAAGCCGAATCAACGCAATCAAACCGCTGTGTAAAAACTCTGGTGAAATTATTGCTGCACTGAGGGAAATCGAAGATACTGAGAGCTTCAACAAAGATGTCCGATTTGAAGCGGGAACACTCGCCGACAAAATTGATTTTATTTTCATTTGCTGTACTTGCTTTTGGTATGACATTTTGAGCCACACAAACATAGCGTCCAAAGCATTACAAACAATTCAGTCAAATGTTCAAACGGCTCTGACATCTCTTGAAAGTGTGATGAATTTTCTTGAAAGTTATAAAGAAAATGGCTGCGAAAAGGTTCTCAATGAAGCAACGGAAATTTGCGAACGCATTTCGATTGAAGTTGAATTTGATCATCAAAAACGTCGAGCGGGTAGAACAACTGTTACAAATGCAGAGGAATTTGAAACAAAAGTTTTCTTACCAATCATCAAATCCGCAACTGATTCAGTCACTGATCGTTTCAAAGCACTAAAGCAACACAGCGAATTATTCTCGTTTCTTTATGATTTTGAAAACTATGAAGCAAACCGAAACAACGGTAGTTTGCAGAAATCATGCAAGAAACTAGAAATTGCTTTAACTCATGATGGAAAATCCGATATCGATGGTGACGATTTATTTGTAGAACTTTCATTGGTTTCAAGTTTGGTTAATCAGGATAATATTATTCACGCAATCGATATACTGAATTCAATTCAGAAGCGAAAAATGGAAAACTTAGTTCCAAATGCTGTTATTGCGCTTCGCATTCTGCTGACGATCCCAGTTTCTGTTTCAACGGGAGAGCGATCGTTTTCAAAGCTAAAGTTAACTAAAATGAATGATAAAAACAATCATATCGATAGAAAGCGATGTAGCAAATTCGATTCAATATGACGACGTGATTGAAGAATTTGCCACTTCAAAAGCGAGAAAAAAGACATTTCTTTAAGTCATTTTAATGTATCATTTTTTTGTTGCTTTTCAAATAAACTTGGATCAAATGTATCATTTTTGAGATTTTTTCACACACTTTTAAAAATTCCAGTTTGAAAGGGCGCCAACGGATTTTGAACCAGGGCGCCAGCGAAGCTAGAAATGGCTCTGGATGGACTTATAAATTTCACATACAAATATCATGAAAAGTTCAAATAGGACAAAGCTGGTAGTCATTCTTTGACAGTAGAACCGAAATCTATGTAAATGTGCACGCACACCAAAAATACAAGCGCTGTGTGCGCCGCACATCTACTGTGAGTGCGTTCTTAGTTATGTGCGCGCACACACAGAGTGTTTTTCCCAGCTCTGCGCTGAGGATGCTCGATCAAATGTCGAAATGCATCCGAACCAAAATTTCGTTTATAAATAAATATTCATATTGATTTATGTTTGAAATTTGAAAAAGGAAAGTCACTTTAACGTGTTTTATTTGAATTTAATCATAGATTGAAAAAATCTTTCCAAATACTGCGGCTATGAAATCCATACCAACTGTTGTAGCTTCATCGCCGTGAAGTTTCAACGCGATTTAGGGTCAGATAGATGCACGCTATATCGTGCGTTCGTGCGTTTTCGTGCGCTTCTCTTTCGCTTTGCTTATCTCATCCTCACCAAATGAGTATATTTTTCAATATATTACAGCATTCACTGGAATGATCAATGTTCATTGAACATCGACTATCAAAGCAAATTGACCTAAATTACTCAGGGTTATTACAAAAGCATACTAAAACGTAACACAAATTCGTGCTAAATATAACCAAATTCGTTCAAAATATATTATAATTACTCACCTCTTTCCCAGTGTATTTTATCTATTGGATATCCTGCCACAGGACATTTGACGATTAAGTCAGTCCCAGATATGCCAGTGATTTTCGGCATTTCACGTATAAATGGTAGACCATAAATATTTACTTTGGCACTATGGGACACTCTGAATATGGTTCATTGCAAACAAACGGATATGCGATGAAAAAAAAGAAGAAAAAATACGAAATGTTACATACTCCTAAGAAACACTGAGAGAAATTAGAATGGTACAATTGCAGATGACGGTGTAGTGGTTAAGTTGCTATGTAAAATGAAATGTATGTAAAGCCGACTAGGCGCACACCTGCATACGCATTCGTATGCAGTAGTGTACGCCTTGCGACTAATGAACGCCAAAATAAACCGTTGCACACGTATGTCACACATACGCGACGCATACGGTTTGGCACCGCATTATAATTGAAGTTGAATAAACCATTTTAGTCTTAATTTTACATTCCTACACTTCGTGTATTACTAAAACGGTTGGAATATGTCAAAATGCAACTTTTCCTCTATTGATTGTGATTTGTCCAACTATTTTATGATTTTGAATGGTTGCAAACTTTACAATCTCCATATAAAAAAATGCTTTCCGACATATTCTAAACGTCATCAGTAATTGTATCATTCTAATTTCTTTCAGTGAACATAACAAGAATTGACGGAGAATATAAAAGGCTAGGGCAAAATACAATAGATTTTGTCTACGAACGAAGAGCAACAATGCATAAATTTGTCATCTGTTTTAGTTTATCGACATGCAGTCAATGATGGATAGCTGCCGATATATGCTAAGCATAGACATTCAGGAAACTGAGCGCACGTTGCTTGCAAATGGTAAAGCACAGCTCGCGCGCGCCTACCCATACACAGATACGAAAATTTCCAATAGGTCTCTCTTTTTCGGACAATATGACGATCCATCCATATTTTTGGACAACTTTACTCATATTGTCTCATTTTGTGGCCAATTTCATATTAATTTCCCTCCAAGTGTCAAATGTACAATATTATGTATAATAGTAGCCAGTAGGGTTAGCCAATAAATAATATGGATGGATTGATATATTGACTGAAAATTGGACAAGGGTTATCCAATACTCCACGAAAAATACGCGCCTCGAACCGACACCAAGTGCCGAGTGTCGACGCCTCATGTGTATCAAGACAGCGATGCGGTACACCTCATACATGCGCGCGAAGCTGAACGAACATACCGCTGAATACATATACGCACACACTTCGTAAGTGTCGCGCGCGAAGTGTATACGAATGCGTATTTTGCGCATGTATTAGTACCGCATCGCTGTCTCGCTATAGTTATACATGTACGTACACACACTGCTGTCACGCATGTCAAGCGACACTTCATCGTAGTGCGGTAAAGCGTGAAAAGGGGAAATGCGACGCCAACTCGACACCTCGTCACAGAGTTCGTTCTCATATACACGTATGTTTTCCCCTTTTCACGCTGCGGCCTTTGAGCGCCTTGCGCATGTATGAGGTATACCGCATCGCTGTCTTGATACACATGAGGCGTCGACGCTCGGCACGTGGTGTCGGTTCATGGCGCGTATTTTTCGTGGAGATAGTGTTGTCTGTGTATATAAGAATATCGTGAAAATCCCTATTGCCTCGGACGCCAAAACTCATCCTATCTCTATGTAAATCGACTTATCATCCGTGCACGTTGGAGACGATTTTCCATTCAAATATTTGCAAATATTGTCCCTTTTTTACTCTCTTTTGTGCGGATATTCTTTGATTCTGTTTTGTAGAACAAACGTTGCTACCACGCAAACATGTGTATTGTAAAATGATTAAACAGAGCATTGAAGCTGCTGCATATATATTTGCTGCTGGTGAACAGATCTGTTCGACAGCAGCTGTTGCTTGCGTGCATATTCGCTGTGAAGCACGTTCGTTCATGCATCGATTCTCGCGCACAATGTTTGTCTCTTTCATTCATACGGAACCAGACAGAGAAGCATATAAAACACACGAGGCACGAACGGCAGCTATGAGTGTGCACGCGTGCGTCGTTTACGATGTATCACGTGTGTTCTGTACGCTTCTCTGTCTGGTTCCGTTTGAATGAAAGAGACAAACATTGTGCGCGAGAATCGATACATGAACGAACGTACTTCACAGCGAATATGCACGCAAGCAACAGCTGCTGTCGAACAGATCTGTTCACCAGCAGCAAATATATATGCAGCAGCTTCAATGCTCTGTGATTAAATGCATATCATCTGCGTTGAATGCATAATTAAATATTGTGTGTAAGTGAGAGACGTGGTATTTCTTTTGTCTAAAAACTGCGAGCAAACATACTTTCCGATGATATTTTGGGCCGTACACATGTATTCACCACCATCCTCTTCCTAAAAATAAAATGATGACACAGTGAAAAATGGATGTGAAATAGAGGAAAAACGAAGAAGAAAACGTTACCTTAACGTTTGTTATGTTAACATGACTGATTACATCATCATGAATTGTTACGTATTGTCCGACTAGAAACCTAGAGCTATCCGGAATCTACAGGCAGCACACGGGACACAATGTAAAAATATTCATGGTGAAATGTAAATTTTAAGCATGTCATTTCACTGCTAAATGGTAATTATTATCTTTCACTTTTAAAAATTCATTGTGTTTTTAGAATTTTTCAGTGGTGATTAGAATTTTTCCATGGATGATGTGCCCCGTTTATTCATTGTTCTTCGATTTTGTTATCATTGCTTGTTATTAGCTATTACTCTGAACACTGCACGCATAATATATACTGTGAATTCCAGCACCACTGTGCTCATTCCAACGGGATTGCTGAAACGAATTATTTTTGCCTAATTCTGCTCGGATCATTCTCAAATTCGACTTGGAAATCTGGGATATATTATGCACTGTGCCCGAAATGTGTGTACATTTGTATAGAGAAACGTTCACGGCTAGTGCATTTGGTGCTGGAGTGCACTCTGCACAGTATATATTATATGTGTGTGGACATTGAAAATTTGATCAATGTAACAGTATTAATAAGGTATGCATTTCAAACATCACTAATAGAATCAATCAAATTACGTTTTTATTTAGTTTTACACGCATGCAATTTTTACTGCAACTAATGTAATATTAGCATTTAGCACAAAAGAATCAAATTTTAGTATATGGCGCTATTTCAGCCTAATCGCAAGGGCACATCTCTCGATTGAGCACTTTTAATTTTATATTACTGGGAATCAGTCTTACCGGAAAACCATCTAGGGTCCATGTGAACTGCGGCGGTGGGTTCCCAGTTGCCACACACTTTAGGGAGACTGTAGGTCCTTGTTGGAGCGTTTGTTCCGAAAACCAATAAAGTAACTCAGGTGATGCATCACCCAGTTGGAGTTCGGCCGTCGACTGGGTTTGTTCCCATTCGTTGGTCACGAAACATTGATACATTCCATGATCTTCTTTTTGAATTTTTCTGATGATTAACCGAGGTGGATCGGTATGAATCTAAATTAGCGAAGAAGAATATAAAGGTTTGGCACAGGAAAATACCTGACGACGTCAGGCTGACGTCATGATCACAATTAATTCACAAATATTGTTACAGTGACAAGCTCAAAGCTACCGTCTCGTTTTGGACAAAAATCAGTACTCCTCTACCATATTTTTTCAATAAATTGTTATGCTGCTCGAAAACTCATATTCGTAAAATATATTCAAGCATATTCTAGGAATGAATGTATCTATGATCATCGGATGGTGCTTGACTACGTTTCAATATGTTCTATACTGAGGCATACGCCAAATATACACTAGAATATATTACGAATTAAAACAAGTAATTGTTTTTCTTTAAATAAACCTTTTTGTCACTTTAATTTTCATATCGTTCAGCGATACAATTGTTTCGATAGACACAAGCTATCATCTTCAGTCGCAATTTCAAGTACAACTCTTGTACTCTCTATACTCTCTCAGTTGTACTTGAAATTGCGGCTGAAGATGATAGCTTGTGTCTATCGAAACAATTGTATCGCTGAACGATATGAAAATTAAAGTGACAAAAAGGTTTATTTAAAGAAAAACAATTACTTGTTTTAATTCGTAATAATTGTGTCATTTTGTGCTCAAAAACAAAAACAGAATAACTAGAATATATATTCGATGGGCGTGCAATGGGCGAGAATATATATTGCAGTGTATTTTTGTCGTATAGAGAGAGTATGATCGCTGTTTCTCTTGGGATACCAACAATTTAATAATTGACATTTTTTTTTTTTTTTTTTTTTTTTTTCTAAATAAAAAAAATATCTTTTTATTGGGTAGAAACTTTCTTTAAAATATACACCTAATATTAAGTAATACAATCTAGTGTCATATGCTACTAGTAAGCAAGTAAAGTTACATCTGTTAATAAACTGACAGAAAAGGTCAATAAATGAACGATATATATTTATATGAAATACTGAAAATGGGTGATGGTCCTTTGCCTACTAGTATTGGGTCTGGGAATTAATCGTGTCGATTTTTCAAAAGATGGCGTAACTTTGCATGGTTGTATCGGGCAATACTTTTTTCTTTTTCACATGAGTGGTCTAGTGTCAAACTACAGAAATCATCATCTATCATTTCATCGAAGTTTGGATAAACATTTTTTTTTGCGCCTTAAATATGTCAAATTTTGTACCGAAAAAGCAACATTTCCCGCAAGCATTAATTTTTTGCTTTCATTTGAAGAAAACTGCGGCTGAAGCGCATCGAATGTTGGTGGAAGCCTATGGTGAGCATGCTCCATCGGAACGTACATGTGAACGGTGGTTTTCACGGTTCAAAAGTGGTGATTTTAGCACGGAAGACAAGGAACGTCCCGGCCAGCCAAAAAAGTTTGAAGATGCGGAATTGGAGGCATTGCTCGATGAAGATTCGAGTCAAACTCAAGATGAGCTTGCCAGAGCATTGAATGTTGACCGAAGCACTGTTGGATATCGTTTAAGGGCCCTTGGTTTCATTCGCAAGTTGTCAAATTGGGTACCACATGAATTGACGTTGGCGCAAGTTGAAAGACGTTTGGTGACTTGCGAAATGCTGCTCGCAAGGCACAAAAAAAGAGGTTTTCTGTATCGAATTGTCACTGGTGACGAAAAAAGGATTCATTACGATAACCCCAAGCGCAAAGCATCGTATGTTAAGCCCGGCCAACCAGCAACATCACAGCCAAAACAAGAAATTCACGGCGACAAGGTAATGCTGTCTATTTGGTGGGATGAGGAGGGAGTGGTGTATTATGAGCTGCTGAGAAGTGGTCAAACCATCGATGGGCCTTTCTACCGACAACAATTGATACGTTTGAAACAAGCAATCAAAGAAAAACGCACGAAATGGGAGACCAGAAAAGAGACATTGATTTTCCTACATGACAATGCTCGGCCACACATTGAGAAATCTGTCAAAAACTACTTGGAAAATAGCGGATGGGAAGTTTTGGCTCACGCCCCGTATAGCCCAGACCTGGCTCCTTCCGACTACCATTTGTTTCGATCGATGCAAAACCATATGATATTTTGATTGAAATGTAATTTCATTTTGGTATTCAAATAAATGTTTGAAAATTTAAAAAAATCGACAAAACTAATTCCCAGACCCAATAGCATATGCCAATAGATTCTATTTCTTTATATTGGGTGTTAAAATCAGTAGAGATGGTAGCTTTAGAAAAGCTAGAAGTAAGTTAAATCAAAAAGTGCGCATGAAAGCAAAAATGTAATAATTTGGCTTGTTAGTCTATTGAGCTTCATATTTTCTTTAAATTTATGTTTGCCAAGCAAACTTTGCTAAAGAGCACATGATGTGCAACGATCATGAAAAACTTTTTGATTTAGACTATTAACATATCACAAGCTACAGGTTAAATCCTTTCATCGTTTACTAGTGCGTATAAATTTTGTCGCGAATAAGCCTCAATGTTCAAACAATCTTTAAACTTACTTCAATTCTATTATCTCGTATAATTGGTTTTCCATCATGAAGCCAATTTATTTCATATACTGGATGACCAGACACGATACACTGGAATTGAGCATCTTTATCCACATCGACGGTCTGCACTTGTGGCTGCAAGTGAACTGTTATTGGAGCTTTAAATTCAAAACGAAGAGAAAAAAATTAAATCAGGAAGGCAAACATCTAAATCGTTACATAAAAAAAATCCACATCAAAAATGTGCCCAAAATGTTCTCCATATTAGTATGGATCACACCAACTTTACATCAAAATTGTGCTCATTTTTGGTGTGAGTCAGATTTTCACACCAAAAATAGTATACAAAACGAGCGCATTTTTGATGTGAGTGACAAATACTGACCAGTCGTTGCAACTGTCACTTATTTATATTAACAATGAAGGAAAAAATTGAAATCCTGTATTTCACAACATCAACAAACAAAAAGAAAACCTAAACCATGAAAAAATCTCAAAAAGTTAGTTTTCAGAGAGTATTCAAATTAAATTCGTTCATTTGATTCATACGGTTAGTCCACTGTGTGCACAAATACATGAACAAACGTATACACGACACAGCGATGTAACACAGCGACGTCCACTCAGCAATAATGCATGAAGTCGAATACAGCATGTCGCTTGGTGCATGCAACCAAATATCGCATAAAAATATCTGATATTTTTATTCAAGCTGATAGAAATATTTGTTAGCGTGCTCTGTTAAAAAAAAATGTCATTTTCTACAAATTCAGCCACTCATATCGCCAATTTGCCGTCATGCATCCGAGTAACCATGAAAAATTAGCGAAAAGTGATGAGGAAATCATCCATCGGTCACAAATCATCCATCAGGTGCCATGTGCAATAATAAGATTATCGGCGGATTAAAATAAAACAACAAATCTATCTAGCTCATGCGATGAATTCAAAATAAATAGACGCATAAAACGTAAATAATATGCTATGGGAAACAGAACACTTTCTTCGGCTTGAATCGGATCCAGCAGTCCCCGAAGCGATTCTCTTATTGAAAAATAAAAAATGAAATAAAAACTATGTTTTTTTATGTTGTATTCATTTATGGCTCACAACCATTTTCGTTAATGTACAATTTGTCTTTTTAATCCTAATATGTGGATTTAAATCCTGAACAAATATGGATTGATCAGTTTAGGTTTTCTTTTTGTTTGTTAGTGTTGTGAAATATAGGATTTCAGTTTTTTCCTTCATTATTAAGGTAATGTTCCCTTAAACGGGACGCACTTCGACATGGTTTTTCATCTTTGACTAGTGGAAATATTTTCGGAAATGTAATATACCGTTGGAAAGAGGATGAGCAAAGGAACCTTTTTTCCTTAGACAGTTTTTTATTTACATTACAAAAAAAAAATTATCGTAAAATTTCCGACCATGACGAAAATCGGAAGAAAAAATTGTGTCTCCTTAAATGGGACACTCCGAAAAACTGAAAAATAAGCGTGAAAATGAAACAATAAGATCATATTTTGAATGTTTATTCATAGTTTATTCATTTTATCGACTTTTGGAGCTCTACTGAATCAATCCATGCGATATGTCCATCCCTTGACCCAGAAAATGGGAATAAACTTACTTTTTGACTCTAAAAACGGGGTTTTCTTTTCAATGTCTATATTTCCATGAAAGGATGACCTGAGAGGGACATTATATGCATGGATCGAAAGGTATTGGGGAGCTAATCGTTTGGTATAAATGACAGCTCGCTGTCAAACTCAGAAGTCAAAAATACTTGACTGTCCCGTTTAAGGGAGCGTCCCGTTTAAGGGAACATTACCTTAATATAAATAAGTGACAGTTGCAACGACTGGTCAGTATTTGTCACTCACATCCAAAATGTGCTCGTTTTATATGGAGTTTTTTGTATGAAAATCTGACTCACACCAAAAATGAGCACAATTTCGACGTGAAGCTGGTGTAATCCATACTAATATGGAGAACATTTTGAGCACATTTTTTATAGGCAATAAATGGCTTCATATAAAAATTGATTCATTTTGAATTAGATGCGATTCAATGTTCAATGATAGTGCCCTATCGGATCTAGAAAACCAGTTATTCAGCTCATTCGTGTTTCCGTTAGTTTTCAATTGTAAACGAAACTATATTTTTAAAATAGTTCACACAAGAACTTCGTTCAAGAAGGTTTTTTGGACTGAAAGAAAAAACAAATTACGCACCTGTTACAGTTAAAGAAACTTGAATTGTTTCTTCACCAGCTGTATTGTTAACCCAGCATAAATATTTTCCGCTGTCGTCTAATCTGGCCTGTAATTCAATATATAAAACTGAATGTTCGTCTGTGTGGATGTATGTCGCGAGTTATCTCTCCTTTTTTTAATTCATGTCTTTATTGTTATGCTTTCCGTTTGATTTCGCGTGGCCTCAAGAAGGATCTTATAAATGCAGTTTTGGTTTTCAAATTAAATTTTTTGGAGTTTGACGAAAATCTTTTTTTCATTGATTTTAATTCTATCTACATTAATGTTCAGTGATGAATGTATGAAAGACTTTAATAAGAGACAGCACGTTAAGATAATTGAATGAAAGAGTTTCTAAAACGATAGATGGATATTTGTCTGAGTGAGAGATGTTAAGTTGTGTTGTGTTCCCAAGCATACTTTTGTTCATCAAAGATAGACGTTATTCAGATTTTTTATCTTTTCATTTGATACGAATTGTATTCAATTAAATTCATTAAAGCTCCGAATGGCATGGGATTTGAGGCGAATTGAATCACTTGAAAATTATTGTTTTAAAATACAAACTGGAGACACAGAATGACAGAAACACACAAAGTTAAATTCGCCAAAATCATTTTAAATCAACCGATGAATAGAGAAAAAGACAAAATGAACGTGATCGCCTACGCATTACTTATCCAAAAGATAAAAGTTTCAAAATTGGAAATTGAATTTCCTGAAAAAAATCAGTGAGATGCAAGTGTGCACTGCAGAACCATGCACTGAATCAGTGCATTCCGGTACATACATGCAAGCGAAGGGCAAATCACTCTAAAGTAATTTGTAATAGAGAAAGTAATCGAGAAAGTAATTTACGTGTAAAAATCTCGATTACTTTTCAATAGAACCAGTAAATAAACCAGTACTCAACCAACAATCATAGCGCGCTTTAGTTTCCTAACAGCGCCAAACACTCTCACACAAGGGAAGCAGTTCAACTCTATGGCAAATAAACCCAGAGAGTGATTCAACAAATGACAAGACCAATTGGCCATAATTCCACCAGCACCAGATATAATACATGCTGAAAACTCATGCTATAATAATAATTATCCTATGAACTTCGATGGACTATTCGGCAAACTTCTAAAATTACCTTTGATATTTTCAATAATCCCGCTGATGCCATTGATATCCTTTCGCTTAGTTGAAGGGGTGTTAATTGCTCATTTTCTTCTTTGAACCACCTGCAGAATAAGTAAATTGATGTATGAAAAAAATCGGAATCGAAAGTGGTTAGAACATAATTGGGGAAAAACTTTGAATATTCGACAATAGATAACACTGTGCAATAATTCTGAACACAGGTCAGACGACCAGGGCTTAACATATCAGAGTTGACCTCCCCAGATTTTGTTCAATAACTCATCTAGTATGGGTGATAGCATCTGTCTACCTTCAGCAAATTTGTAGTTGAGGGTCCAATGAAAGGGCAATTTTTTTAGTTTTTCGACCATAAATCGCGCAGTATACATTTTATTTCAACTCTGAATGATAGATGACTGTACTAAATCGTTTTAAACACACTGGTTTGGATCATAGAAAACCCTAGGCACCGATATTCAGCTGAAAAATTGATATTTGAATCGAAAATAGATCAGTATAACCTATGGAAATGTAACATTCTAGACCATAATCTTTTCGATTCGAATATATATTGAATCAATGAATTGAACATTTGGAATTTTTGTAATTTCAAAGCTCCTATAAATAGAGTCACTCTACTCTATTTTCATATAGGAAGAAGTGCACAAGATTAAAGTTTTTAAAGCATGCCAAACTTTCCGCCATTAAAAAGTTCTGAATTGACTGACTATATTTAGAGCTGTCAACGGACACGGACAAAAATCAATTCTCATCCAATTTTCTTTTGAATTTTTTTTTTTGGTCGAATATTTTTCGGACTTTGCTAAATATTAAGTGGTTTCGTAGTTATAGCGTTTGGCGTATCTGATTATTTCTGGAACCAATGCGTGACGAAGGGTTAACATTGCGCTTCATGGGCAATTACTTCATTATTTTATTACTGCTATATTTCGATTTGATTGACCGTACACTGTTCAAATTTTCAACATTTTTGTGTTGGTATTTCTGCTCACGGATAATCCGTGAATTATAAATATTACCGATAGGTTGGCACTGGATGGCCTTGTGCGATGCAGGGCAGCGTCGTTTGTCCATTGAGTACCACATGCCGGGCGGAATGTTTCTCAACGTTGATTCGTGGTTGCACAAAACCTTTTGGCTCAGTCACAATGATTCGGCCTGGATATGCAGACATTTGAACATCACCTGCAAATCGAGAATATTTAATATTGCTCATTTTTGAATAATCTAAATATGCAAACAAATATAAGCTTATTTCAATCCTTATGATTAGTGTCCAACAAGAAGTGGTAAAGTGTATGATTGAGCAAGAAATACAAAATTGAAAAATGGAAAATGTAAAATAAAAATCAACACATCCAAAACCCAAGGTATCATATTTCCATTCGACAACAAACGCTAACGCATTCCATCGGCTCCATTGAAAAATGGATACTCGCATTGGTATAGCAGTCGTATTTCGCTGTTCTCGAACGTTCTCACGAATGCGAGTGCGAATGTTTACATAGAAATCATACGGCAGCGTTGCGAATGCATGCACAAACACGAATGAACGAATGAATTATGTTGTCACAAGTTCGCTGTCATAGCCGCTTCGTCGCATTCGCAAACATTCGAATTTTTGTTCTGAAATGCTGAATGTTTTGATGAATCTTTTCAATTTTTTCAGCCTTGAACGCCCCATACGCCAAATTCCAGTGCCACAAACAGTCCACGAAAAATTGAAAAGTACATTATTGCAAACCGGCATTACTTTATTCAGTAATGCTTGGTTTAAGCTCCATAAAAATTTCAAAATGACTCAAAGCGATTATGATCAAATTTTACAAAAAGAAAATCATTTGAGAAAAAGTACTACTGAAAGTGGTGATCTTATAAATGGCCGGGCGTATTATCTCGAGATCATGATGGAAAGAAAAAACTCCTTGTAAGTTTTAGAAAACAATAATCACTTCTCACTGAAATTTACTATTTTTTTCTCCCTTTATTTACAGTGAAAAATTGATCGTACCATCAGATGAGGATGAAATGGTATACGGACATATTAGAAATGATTATGCAACCGGATTGACTCAGATTCAGCAATTTATCGGACTCGGAATTGACAAGTTCTTGCAAGCTGTGATGTATGATAGACGATTTACTACCTCAACTACCGTAAATGAGTTAACAGAAAATGTTAGACAGTGGATATCAAATTCAATTGTCGCATAAATAATTAAAATAATTATAATGATGATTCATTTTTATCACAAAAATTCTTTTTCTTCCAATACCAAATTTCTTCTCTCCCCTTCAATGAGTTTTTTTTACTATCACTATTGAAATGCAAATCATTGTGAGCATCTAAAAGATGCTCCAATTCTAAACGTTCCAAAACGTCCAAAAATGATCTTCAATAAATTGGAATGCACTTATCAAATCTGTTTGCTCCAACTTGGAGCCTTCGAGTGAGGACAATGCATTCTTGAAAAAAAAGTCCATTTAATCAAATACTTCTAACCGATTCAAAGGAACGATAATCATAAATCAGCACTGTTCTAGTATTTTTGATAAGTTTTTCATGATGCATGTGTCTTGAACTCAACAGTGATTCATCTAGATTTTCGAGAAATCGAAATGCAAGTATGCTATTTTCATCAGATTTATGCGTATTTTTTCAGCCTTTCTATGATTATGGCATTTATTCTAGATTCTTTCTTGCAAAGTCAATGTGAGTGTGCGGATGTTTAGTTTTTTGCGCCAACAGTGTTGATGGTGATCATATTTTAATAATTTCTGTTATGAGTACAGTAATCATTGAATTATGCTCATTGAGCCTACAGAAAAATGAACTACGAAAGAACATGTGTTATCTCGAAACTGCACTTTGTACTTCACAAATGTCTACATTTGGTTATCTTTGAAAATAAACAGATGGTCAAATGCGGTTACAAAACTATTTCGAATTCAAGAAAAGTTCCTTATCATTTTTTTTTCAATCGCTCAAAGTCTTTGTTTCCGAAATAAATAAGCTTGCTTGTTCGATTGGTTTCAGTTTGTTTTGAGATTTGAAGCCAAACACATTTTATTTAATAAATTGTTGAAAGGCAGTTGAAATTTTCAAAAATATTGCAGTTAACACATTTTTTGTTCGGAATGTTGCGTTTTATTTTGGTCAGTTTTTTCGCCATTTATTTAGTTTTTGTTTCGGCTCAAGTTAAAAGTATCGGTATGTGAAATAAATAAAAAGAATTACATTGGTAATCCCGAACTTTTCCGTACCGTTGGCCTGCGTTGTCCGTAGGTACTTTTGGTTATTTTTTGTGAATTTTCTTGAAATAAAGGCAGTGAAAATATAATAATAAAAATAAAGTGAAAAATTCTCATTAGCTTTAAACTTTCTGAGGTTTCATTTTTTGGAGAAAAAATAAAATTCTGAAAGTTTCATCTTGATCGCATTAGCAGAAGTTTGGTTTTTGCCCCTCAATTTTTTCCAAGAAAATTTCGACAAAAATTGAGGACAAAAAATCAAACTTCTGCAGATGCGATCAACATGAAACTTTCAGAATCTTATTTTTTCTTCAAAAAATGAAACCTCAGAAAGTTTGAAGCCAATCAGAATCGATTAACGGGTACCTCCCATACAAAATTGTCCGAAAATCGGTAATTTTAGTCAAGATTTCAAAAAAAATTGTATGGGAGGTACCCGTAAATCGATTCTGATTGGTTTAAAAATTTCAGAATCTTATTTTCCTCCCAAAAAATGAATTCCCAGAAAGTTTGAAGCCAATCGGAGTCGATTTACGAGTACCTCCCATACAAAAGTGTCAATTTTTTGAGGTTTTTCTTAGGGCAAGTACCCCAGGATCAAATCGAAAATGGCTCATTTTCGAACTTAAACTAAGTTTTTCGAATACAAAACTTTTGGCATTTCCAGATTTTGATTATCTCAGTTATTTTTTGAGTTATCGTGTTTACAAACAGCTACGACGACGACAACGACGACAACGATGACGACGGCACACGAACGGAAAAGTGTCTCAAAAAGTGGTTTTCTACGCGTTTCATGAGTTTTTATAACGATCCAAGCTAATTTTGCGAAAAAAGTTTTCGGGACCAATTCCTATACTTTCCCTTGACACGTTGTGTACGGAAAAGTAATACATTCAACTTCTAATAAATTGAAATATGAATATAGTATATTCTATTTCTTCATGATATTTTTTTCCTTAATTTGATTTTTAAAATTCAATCCCAGGTCGAACGAATGGTTTAGTAGTGGTGTGTAATGCTCCCTCGCAGTCTGTGCTTGATGAAGAGAATAGTGATTTCAATTTGGAAAAGACAGATCTGAAACTGTGCACACATCTAATTTGCAACGATAAGAGGTACAAGAACGCACAACGTACGTACATTCTTTTTTCTTTGTATTTTTCAAATAAAATATCAATATTTAAAGAAACTTAAAAAAAATATTCATTTTTCGTTTGTAAATTTGCTCAAGAAGTGCCATGGGAATGGACAAACATTTCATATTTGCCAGATATACAAAGAGATTACGAACAATTTACTAATTCACACCGAAAATATCCTCACTTGAAGGTAACATAACTATTATTATTCACTCCGTTTTGAAACGAAATATTTCCAATGAAATGAAATCGATTTTTTTCTGTAAATTTTTTTATAAAATAGGTTTCTTTAAGTGTTGATCCAACGAATTATTTACTGTCAACAACCAATTCATCCATTGAACACTACAAATTTGTTCAAAATGCACTCTCTTTCATTTCCACATACCATTTTGATGGTATAAATTTGCTTTGGCGAAAGAATTTAAGTCAACGGTTTGCATAATATTAATTTATTATTACTGATAAAGGGTGTTTTTTTAACGTTTTTTTTTCAATAGGGTTTTTTTGACAACTGAGTCGACATTTGGTAGCCATTTTTTTTTCCATTGTATTTAGTATTCATTATAATTTAATGTCCGACATACAGTTTGGGGATATGACCACCTCCCCTCCTTTTTTACCCACCCCTCCTGAAAGTCCATTTTTGAGCTATTTTGGAAGTTTTTCAGGTCATACTCTCACAATTTTATGAATTTTGTTAGACTTTGAAGTGTAAATCGTTTCATTTTTATCTGAGTAAACAAAAGAATTCATGTATCCCCACGGGGAGTAGCCCATTGCATTAATGTTGGAAAGTAAGCAATGGTTGGTTTTTCAAATTCATGCCTCTCTGACAATGTGTTTGTTTGTTAGTGAGGATACTAGTCTTGGTGGTTTCATAGTTAGCCTAAATACAGATGACTATTCTGGTAAATGTAATTTGAAAGAATACGCATACTTATATCAATATTATTTTGATAAGACGAAATATCCACTACAATTACCAATCAATCCCACTTTTCCACTCCTTAAAACTATACGTAGTACAATTGATGCTTATTTTAAACTGAAGCCAATAGTCTATATGTGGTGATTAACAATTATCCGAAGTACGAGTACGCTGTAAAGAGTTACCCAAATATTGCGTACACTTTCAATTTTTTGCAAATTTTGGTAACTATTGCTAATATTTATTTAATATATTAAAAGAACATTTTGTATTCCAATGAAAATTTCAGTATAGGCAGACTAACTTATGTTACAAGAATCCAAATTTATTGTAAAAATAAAGAAAGAAAAATAAAAATAAATAGAATTTTACCATTTTATTTGTAAAAAAATGTACGATAAAATAAGTTTCATGGAAAAGCGAAATCTGGTTGTGGCCTGCCTTGCATCATCAGGCAGAAAGTGAGCTGCGGCGAATGGAAAGTGTTGATCTATTAAATGGCAAATATCTAACGACAAGTGAACAATCAGCACACATCAATCGAAATGAAAAATTGAAATGTCACATTATATCTTCATGCAAATAAAATATTGCTTTACATTTCAATAGAAAAAAAAATGGATTTTTTTTTTCAATCAAACTGCATTACTTCATGTAGAACTATCTGTGCACCTGTAGTCAAAATAAATTTCGCAATAAGTAAGGAGAGATCTCATAATATGCATTTGCATTTAATTGGAGCAGATGTTTCACCTATCTTGTTCATTCTGTCCATACCAGGTCAATGACCTCAAAAAACCGGTAAGGACAGAATGAACAAGATATATCTATCGGGCTTCTTAATTCGATTCTCGATTAAA